CTTGCTATGGCCAGAGCAGTTCTGCTCAGACAGATCATCCACTCCGGGCCAGATACCCTCCGGCGACTTCTTTGGGCGCACTGGGAGTCGGACCCATGTGCATCCTGCCTGGGGGCGGTATTGTCAGATATCAGGCATGCCGTGCAGTATGTCCCAGCGGCCAAAGTCCTGATGTCGTCGCGGTGCCCGCTCACCGCCCTTATAGAGGCAGTGACCGATCAGCCGCGGTGGTGGACGCAGCGCCTCAAGCAAGCGGCCAAGGAATGGTCTACCGACCTCCAATGGTGGAGTGTTCACCGGGAGGCCAAGCCCACAAGGACTGAAGATCCTGCCGACAAGGCTTTCACCTGCCCGCATTGTGCAGCGGCCTTTGATCTTCGGAAGCACCTTTGGGTACACTTGTCGCGGGCGCATGGCATTGTGACGCCCACACGAAGGCTGGCATATTCCTCCACATGCTTAGCTTGCCTCAAACACTATGGCTCAGTTGAGCGCTTACAGTATCACCTCAAGCGTAGCGGCGACTGCTTACTGCGAACCGCCTGGCTCGTTCCGCCCTTGTCCGATGAAGCATTACAAGAGGTAGAGGCAGGTTTCAAGCAAGCACGTTGCAAGCTCCGCAAGGGCCAGTGGACTTCCTTTTCTACCGTCATTGAAGCACAGCAGGCGTCAGGGCCCGCACAGTTGACCTCACATGAGCTCATCGCTGCTCAAGGGGAGGACATCAGCCTAGGCGCTCTAAGTAGGCTCTTCCATCCGGATCCGGCTTTCATCTCCTCAGTGGAAGAGTATGTCGCTAGCCGGTCCGCCGAAGGCGCCCGTGCATCAGCAGGTAGATTTTGGGATTTCCGGCCACGTTTCACTAGTGCATCGTTTTGAATTCAAGGACGCGCCCTTCTGGGCCCTGCAGTCCATCAGAAGAAGAATACTATACTGGGGGGAGGGGGTCCTTATTATCATCATAGTATAGTGGGCCCCAAAAACCCTCATTCCAATCATGAAGGCCCCTATAGTAAGACCCCCTGTCGTACTTGGAGGTTCATGGGTAGTTATAAGTGGGGTTATTAGCCCGAAACTCGTTGGGAGCTTGTCGCCCGGCCGAGGCCGTCCGTGGCGCCATGAAGCGCATAGCATCCATCTCGGCCCCCACCAACCGCCGATGGCGGTAGATGAGCAGCCACTCAAGTGCTGTTGCATGTCGGACCGCGCCCAGGAACCAGAGCTGGAAGCATGGACTGCAAGGCTGATATGTGATGTGTCATAACTCAATATTATTATTATTAATATTATTATTATTATTACTATATTATTATTATTATGCCTTGCAACTCCGGGGCTGCAAGTCTGAGATTCGCGGCACAGCGCACAGACCAGTTGTGCCATCCCTGCTAATTCATGTTGCAAGGAAGAGGATGCGAAGCATTGCGACAAACCCTTCCCCGTCTCCAGCATGTCGTTCCAACTTGGCGCACGTTGACTAAGTTGACTGATACAAGGGTCTAAATGATTACCTATACCATTTTGGGCCTATTTTAAGTATTAAGCTGCAAAGTATACAACCCTAGACCCCAACGACCCCTAAACCCTAAAGCCTGCACAACATGCTGGTGCTGCAGTGAAGGATTCCGGGTGCATACCAGCCACTCCAGAGGAGTGCTCAGCTGTCAGCCTGGGTGTCATTTCAGCGTGAGCAGTGGGCATGGTACAGCGTGGAAAGCAAAAAAGATGATGACCGTAATCCAGCAGTAAGTTGCGGAAAGTTCAGGATCGTTCCCATTTTTTGATGGCAGGCAGGTTTTTTATGATAAGATTTCGTTGAGAGCGAGTCGGTTTAAGACCCAACGCGGGTGTCCATGCGTTGATGCCCCCACGCGTGGTCCGATTCAGGATTCCTGGCACAGGGTCTCACAACCAGTCATCTTCAAGATAGCTTCATGAGAGTGCCAACTCTACAGAAAGTAGCTCCAGTTTTTTTGTTCATAAGTAGCTTTCCCTAAATCTCCAAGTAGCAGTTCTAGATAAGGGGATGTGCTGAAGTACAGTGTCTCTAAGGCTAGAAGTATGGGGCCCTAAAATGGACCCTTAGGCTTTTCTAGGGACCCTTAAGGGTACATATAGGGTATATAGCAGGTGAAAAAGTCCCAAGGTTAAGGGCCCATACTAGGGGCCCATGGGTTCTACCTTAGAGTGTCGCGGTGTGATAGTAAATGCTTTTTGGGCCAGCGACCACTTCTGGAACACGCACTCAACGGCAAGAGGCTTAGTCCCCAAAATCGAGGCCCTAAACCCCAAGCCATAAACACCTTAATCAAACACCAAGACAATCTATCTATCTATCCGTGTGCTCATCTATCTATAGTTATACATTTATACATATACATATATATATATATATGTACCCTTAGTTTGAATTCTCACTCTAACCCTAAACACCCAGAGCCCTAATCTCTGATCCCGAAACCCTAAACCAATCGGGCGCGGTGGGGTGCGACCGGAGAGCAATGGAATGTCCATCGCTTCCTTCAGTCAGCTGAAAGCGACATACCTCCGAGTCATTGAAAGAACCCTTGAGGCGGGGGATTTAGGGATTAGGATAATATAGAAGCCTGAACAGTTATAATAATAGTATGCAGGAGCCCAACGCCTATTCTAGTTATAAAGGCCCCTACATTATAGGGTTTAGGGTTCACGCTTTAGGGTTTTGGGTATTATAGAAGCTTTATTAATTGTGACAATAGTATAAAGCAGCCCAAAACCTGTTTCTAATTATTAAGGCCCCTACATTATAGGATTTGGGGTTTACGCTTTAGGGTTTAGGGGCGAGCGCCTCGGTGAGCAGAGGATGGTCGTGGTAGTAGAGTAGATATCCTTCAACCTCCTTGGGATACTATAATCCCTATATGGGTAGTTCTCAAAATTAGGGTCCCGTTTAGGGTCCTTTTTATAAGGGTGCCGTACTATATTGGGGACCAAAAAGGGGCCCTAATTTAGAAAACTACCCATATACTGTCCGGTTTAGGGTTTAGGATAGCTATGTCGCCTTAATGGTTAACCTTTGGTTCCACTAGGATACTGGACAAGTAAGTAGTTGTGGGGTGAAACAGTGCTTCACTAGAAAGTTAATTAAGGCTTAACGAGGTTTGTTGGGTCCTTGTTGGTTTGATTGAGTTCCTTGGGGGCAGACTATTCCGTTAAACAAGGCTTGAAGGGGGTCATGGCTTCAGGCAGGTCCCAGGGATGCAGGGTTTTAAAGTGTTTTGCTTTAGGGTTGTAGCGCTTTGCTCTGTGGGGTTACGGGATTTGTTAAGTGGCTGTGAGGCTGCACAAGGGTTGCAAATACGAGAAATATGAAGCTCTAGGTAGTGTAGGAACCTGATTAAGAAACCCTGGTCCCATAAACTTAAAATATAAGGAACCCTAGTGAAGACCCCAGCTTCCTCAATCGGGTTCCCATATAACGAGGGTCCAGAAAGTCCTCCAGAGCACGTGAGGTAAGCAATGTACCTTAAAGTCTGCGAAGGATCTTACCCTAAACCCTAAACCCTAGGAGCAGGGAAGACTCTTCCAAGAGCTTCGGAACGTGGTAGTACTACGTACAGGATCCCAGGTGTGGGACCCGAAAATGATGACATAGGAGTCTCCGGCACAGCCACGTGATGCTCTACGGACACACTCAAAACCCCTATGAAGGCCCGGAGCTTATAGAACTCTTCATGGACAATATCCAGCAATATCCTAAATCGGGACCTGACCACATGTCCATTAGTTTGCGGCAGAACATAATGCAGAAAACCCCACAACCAAAAAGCCTGGGCCTACGGTAGCTGTTCGGATATCGCTCCACTAGTAAAACGTAGCAGCACCTTCCGGGGGAACACCAGACCAAGCAGCCCCACGCCTGAAACTGCTAGGAGTGGCATGGTTCCGGCGATCATCGCAATTGGTGAAGTAAAAACCTACGACTTCGATGACTCTTGCGACACGTATTCCCAGAGACTCCACAACACAGTAAGTTAACATTGTCCCTTCCTTAAACTAGAACGACAGCACCATGTAATCCTGAGGTAAGGAGTTTTGAAGACTTTGCAGACTCTGCACGTCCCTTGAGACCTTTTCGCCCCACGCCGTCCTCAAGATCCCCAACAACGGAGGGGTTTAGGGTTTAGGGTTTAGGGTTTAGGGTTTAGGGTATCATTCTTCATGAAGAATAAACCGTTAGGTGAGGAATGTTGAACTCAACAAGCGACTGTGTTTAAAGGTACATACCTTTATGTTTTACATATACATACAACGTACGTATTAGCATATCTTTATATTATAGACAAGATATGTGTATGTATGTGTACGCATATATTTATATACATATACACTTATAGATAAATAGGTATATACATACACATATCTACATATATATATATGTATATATATATATACATACATGCATATAAAACAACATATGGATGCATCAGAAAACGAGGAGTGCCCCAGATCCTAACTAGTGTGATTCTTATTTTGAGAGGACCCAGAAAGGAGCAGTACTGTACGCTGGGGCGTGCAGCCCATGTGCTGCTATGCTGCCGCGACGCCCAAAACCGTATAAATCCTTCTAGGAGCCTGTAAAGCCCAATAAGATCCTTTTAAACTCTTACAAAACCGTATAAATCCTTCTAGGACCCTTTAAAGCCCCAGGAAGACTCTCTTCAACTCTTACATGGGGGTTTCCAAAAATAGGGGACCCTAATATAGTACCCTAAATTATAGGATCCTTATTATAAGGACCCCAAAATAAGGTACCCCTAATTTTCGGAAAGTCCCACATATCCTTGAAAGTCCTTCATTATGAAATTAAAGTCTATATTTTTTCTCCCTGGTTACTTCAAGGTCTAGAATAAGATCCTCTTAGACTCTTACATAACCGTATAAATCCTTCTAGGACCCTTTAAAGCCCCAGGAAGACTATCTTAAACTCTTACATACCCTTGAAAAAAACCTTCTGACAGCTCGGCGATCCCAGCGACTTCGCCAGCGGTTCGCTGATCTTCGAGCGATGGCGTGCGGCTTTGCAGAGGTTCGCAGAGGATCGTAAGTCACTTGGGGGGCCTCAATAAAATGGGGCGGGGAGGGTGTATATAAGACCGCCTCTGAGTCTTACAGCCTTACTGTACAGCACCTTGGGTTCTTGGATTCAATCTCAGAGGATTTAGTAACCAGCTTTTTGGTGGATGTACGGGTTTAACAAGCCAAGCAAGACCCGAGAGCTCTACATATGACCTCCCTACCAACTCGCCGGATCCTTTGAGCAGAGGGTTATGTCACTTTATGGTGTCACTGTCGCAGGGGCTTAGGGTTAACTCACGGTGGTGAAGTAGTTGTTTACAGTACAGGCATACTTGCCGAGTGTTTGCGCCGCACACCAACACTGCCATCAAAGGAGATTCGATTCAGGCTTCGGCGGCACTTTAAAACATCTTGAGCGTCTTCCTCATCATGACCCTATGCTAAACTAAAAGACCCACTGACAAATGTTTTGTGAGATCCTTGAATTACTACCGGATCTCTTGAAATCTCCTGCCGTTGCAAGCTCAGCGCAGGCGCCTTCGAGCAATGCAGGAGAAGGCACTGGGAAGGGTTTTGGCCTTGAGGTTTGGAAAAATTGGTTTGGGGTTCAGGGTTGGGTTTAGAGTTTCGGGGGGTCGTTGGGCTCTTTATGCATACCTCAATCGCGGGTTTGCATGTTTTCCTGACTCTTCTTCGCTAGTCTTAAGCTTGACTGCCCTATGGCTCAGTGCACGAACCTATTTTCCTCACTGCTGCTCCCACAGCATCCACGATGGATTTCTTTTGCATAAGTCTAAGGTCAGCAGGGTTTGTATAATATGGTTTTGAGACGGGTTTACAGTGGTGTCGATTGTAGATGCAGGTCTCAGCGTTTAACTTTAGGGTTTACAGCTTTGGCGTTATGCAAGCCCGAAATAAAGCCCGCTATTATGCCATCAGACTTCGGTTGATGATTTACATCCTGCACTTCCCATCAAAATCATTAAAAGGAATATACCAGAATTCCCATAGTTCAGGGTCCTTAAGCTAATGCAGGATTGATCTCATCAACAGCCCAGACCACCGGGAGGATCTAAAAAATAGATCCCCTAAGGGGTTCCTATAAAGTACCCTTTAGTAGTTGGGGTCCCAAATTAGGGGATCTATTTTTTAGATCCTCCCGGTGGTCTGGGAGTATGTCTGGCACCGACCCTCCACCCGGAACCCTAACAACTGACGACGTCCGGCGGGCTGAGGCCCAAAAGACCCGAACGTGAAAGCCTCGAACCCTGATCGCCCCCTGGCCCTTCGCAGCCAAAAGCCACAAGAAACGGAAGAAGATAGGGTGTAGGGTTCCCGGACCACCGGGAGGATCTAAAAAATAGATCCCCTAATTTGGGACCCCAACTACTAAAGGGTACTTTATAGGAACCCCTTAGGGGATCTATTTTTTAGATCCTCCCGGCGGTCTGGGTTTAGGGTGTAGGAAGAAAGGAGCCCCGAAGCCTCAACCCGAAACCCTTTAGAGTTTAGGGTTTAGGGTTTAGGGTTTAGGGCCCGAAACCCTCAGGGCCCTAAACCCTTAAGCCTCCTAAACCTCAACTCCCAAGCCCAGAGCTCTCGAACTCCGGGTCCTGCAAAACTGTTAGGGTTTAGGGTTTAGGGTTTAGGGTTTAGGGCCCGAAACCCTCAGGGCCCTAAACCCTTAAGCCTCCTAAGCTTCAACTCCCAAGCCCAGAGCTCTCGAACTCCGGGTCCTGCAAAACTGTTAGGGTTTAGGGTTTAGGGTTTAGGGTGGCCTGCAGAATGCTGGGAAGTACGGGGCGCCGGGCAGCCACGCGCAGTTGCATTACCAGGCCTTGCTCTACTTGTTTTGGATCCTGGGGCTTAGTGGGTTCCTTAAGAGGTTTCTGTAAGGGACCGATCGGGTTTTAGGTTTTAGGGACTAGGACCCTGGGGCTTAGTAACTTAAAGGGTTCCTTAAAAGGGTTCCTTATCTAATTATAAGGGCTCTATAAGGCAGAGTTTAGGATTACTTTAAGGATCATGGGACTTAGCAACTAGGGTTGTAAATAAGGTAAATGCCAGTGTTTAAAACCTTACATCCTACGTCCCATGATCCTCCAAGCACGTCGCAGAGTGGCAAGATAGGGGCCGTGCTAAGAGTTTTTTTGTTGAGGGGCGGGGGGGGTGGGGGTACATTATGCGATAACATTAGTCGCCACAGTAATAACGGTAATGACACAATTATTGGTACTGGTGGTGGTGGTGGTGGTGGTGGTGGTGGTGGTGGTGGTGGTGGTCGTCGTCGGGACTATAAGGGAATACTGTGACTGATGATTCCGATGCCAAAAGATAGCCCTTTTAAAAGATCAACGTTCCATGTTCCATGATCGCGGGGAGTATACTATTCCGCCTTGGAGTAAGCAGCTAGCTTTGCAAGGGTGGTGCATGAGATTGCAGCTCAAAAGATTGTCCCCAGCGCTTCACCGAACTTCAGCATGGCTTCTTGTTTAATTCGGGTCAGTTTGTCCAGATGCGCCACCTCTTTGGATGCAATACAGGACGAACTTAAAAGTTTTTTCGGCTTACAGACTTGAAGCGATGTTCTTAAAATAGACACACTACGCAACCTACATGATTTGCTAGCTGCTCGGTCCTGCCGGTTTCGCAGGCCTTAAGATCCCAAAGCTGAAACCCTAAACCCTAA